CACCGTTTTTTGGACATTCCAAATTGCATCAAATGTCGACGTTGTATTAGACCATTTTAAGCAACTTTTAAAGAATAAAAGCTTTTCCGTCTACGTACGTACGTTGGCAATTTTCCGAGATAACGGCTCGATCGGATTTGTTCAAATTTTGGATATGCATATCACACGGAAACGAAAAATAACGAGCCGGATTTTTGAAAAGTGTTGGAATGTCACAGCGATACCGAACTTTTTTTTTCACATAGCAACGTAAAATGTTTACTAAATTACATGAGTTATTTTCTTTTTCTGTGTACAACGTTCAAAAATTGCTGGGTTTTATTTTTAAAAAAACGGAGAGAAAGATTTCAAACTTAAACAAAAGATTTTTTTCGGTAAATCGTTTATTTTGATTTCTTTAAAATTTTGGCTATGTACGTTAGGATTTAAGACTGTCAAAAACGGTTTCTCCTAATATCTGATAAAAATAATTTTGGTTTGAGCTATAAAGGTGTTTTGTCAAAAATTTGGCACTGGTGTTTTATAATATTGAGATAATTACATATGAGAAAATAATACTAATATTACTAATTTACGTCACATTTTTATAGCTTAAGTAATTGTCACATATTGCTTCAACCTTTTTGCAAAATTAAGTAAAAATTTCAGTGCAATTACTAAAAAAAATGTTTCGGTTGTTATTTGTAACAGGCTTGGACGTAAAGGAAAAATTTTGAAAAAAAAATCATTTTAATTGCTTTTTCGTAAAAACAACCCCGTAGTAGTTAGCCGTCTAGAAGCGACTGCAATCTTGACTTATCGCGTGCTCACGAGCAGAGCCACCGTTACTTTCATATGAAAATGACGGACTTTCGCGGCGCTTTCGAATCCTGGTAGCAGTGGGTGTTAACAATGGCGGTTCTTTTTATACATAAATGGGAAAGGAAATTAAATAAAAATCATAATTTTGTGCGTGAGAAAAGACGAACAAAGCTTACGCACACAACCAGGGAAACCTTCTTCGGGACAAAAACCGTGAAATAGCCCACACAAATACACGAGCTAAATTAATAAAGACAACAAAAGCAAAAGAAAGTCCACAAAACATTTCAAATTGTGTAATAATATACATCAGGTTACGAATTTCAAGATTTTAGCAACATCATATTTTTTCTCACTCGTTCGCCGATGTTCCTGTGTTTGTCCTGGTAAAATCAAACCACAGCCTTTTTACCGGAGACGCACTCCTTTCGGATCTTTGTATGAATTTTAAAGCATCGAAGATGCCGTCCACTAGGTATTTTGTTGACTTCACAACTTCGATAAAAAGGAAAACTCTAATCTGAATCATCAGTGAAAAAAATATCATCTTATCTGAAGCATATTCCCAATTAATCATTAGAGCCTTTACCCACTAGACCACCAAGGTGGTGTCACCGGTGGCGCCGCCATGGTGGATACATTGCGTAGAATTGATTCAATTAGAGCACAGTATACTGGCCGTATGTGTAGACTGACCGCGCTTCCAAGTATATGCGGTGGCGGGGGTATGCGATTTTCAAAGTCAAGAGACTCCCACATAGCATTCGATATCTTATGTATATACATTTTAAATCCATAATGTACACGGAATATCCTGTCCATCTTATGTATATACTATGTATATTCATTATAGGATAGGCATATGTATTTTATGTTCGGTATGGGGATATTGTATAAATATGCATTTTGGATGTGTGTTTCGTGTGTGCATGATCTAAAGTTGCAAATATGTGCTAGTGAGATGTAAAGACTGGATGGGAATGGGTATGTTAGCAACTTATTTGTTATGAACTCGCGCTATTATAGTGTTGAACAAGAACACGATCAAAATGACTCTAGACTACAGTGTTAAATAAAACAATAATAATTTCTTAAGCACATTTTCCATTGTACACTAAGAGACTTAATAAACAAAAAGCTCCACTACGTGAAAAGAATTTATTTATGAAGGTATAGACCAGAGCTGGGCAGAATACTTTCAAAAAGTATTTGAATACTAAACAGTAAATACTTTACACAAATCAAAGGTATTTGAATACTAAATACTTTTACGTCCAGCACAAGCGAATACTAGATATAGATACATTGAAAAGTATTCAAATACTTTAGAATGTATATTCGAATACTCTCAAAAGTATTCTAATACTGTCAAAGGTATTCGAATACTATAAAAAGTATTCGAATACTTTGAAAAGTACTTATTCAAAATACTTGTCACTCAAATACATTAAAAATGTAAAATAGTATACTAGATAAAAGTCCTAATACTACTTAAAAAATCAAGTTATACTTTGTATGGGGTTAGCTTTTTTTATATTTCTATTGTTATATACAAATTTAAGGGGAGTAAAAGTAATAATTTCAAACAGTTCCAAGATTGGGCTACTAGTTCAAAAGTTACAGCCCTTTGAATTTTCTTTCGAAATTGGTTTCTAGCCTATAACTTTTGATTGAGAAGTCTGATCGAAAAAGTACGAATTGATTTGGATTCTACGCACCCAAATTAATAAGAAAAAAGTGTTTTCCCGAGAAATTTTGGAGTAGTCGATTTTTGGTAAAAAGGGAAGGTTAAGTATTCAAATACTATGCGAAGTATTCGAATAATAAATATTTGTGAAAGTATTTGAGTTACAAATACAAATACTGCTTCCATAAAGGTATTTAATTACAAAGTATTTGAATACTTTAAAGGATTTGAATACTAAAAAGTATTTACAAAATCGAATACTGCCCAGCTCTCGTATAGACGCTAGTAAACTTCCCGAATGTTAGAGGAATCTCTATAGAACATCCATTCTGAATGTATACAACATACATAGAATATCCTATTGAACATCTTTTGCATATTACAGGAATATTCCTGGTATATCCAGTTGTCAGTATACCAATATACATAGCATGTCTCATGCATATACATGCATATACATAAGACATCCAAAACGTATATACTATGTATTATGTGAAGT